TTCACATGCTTTTCAACTTTGCATTTTAAGTCATGATATAAAGGTTCCAATGGCAGCCTCTCAAGAAAAGACAGAGGGTGAAATGCGTTTATTTTATATTTAAATTATTCCGCCTTTATAAATATTAAGTAGGGTGACCCAGCACGAGACTCCGCCAATACCGTGTAGGTGCTGGACGGGATGCAACCTATTTACAGTGGAGTCTATTAGAGCTAAGCTCCTAGTCCTACTAAAATTGCTTGTATGACCTATCAGAATCGATGTAGAAACTTCATATGCATATATATTGGCAAATGATTTTTTTCCCTCAGATTTTCTATGTCATCAGTAGCTTAAGTGAGAATGGTCTGTTTAAGCATGCTCTACAATCTTGTTTTTTCTGTTTAGCACAGAAACCTTTAGAGTATGCATTATTTGCAATTTCCTGAACCAGAAGAATCTTTTTGACTTAGCATGAGCATTTCTGTACATCCTTTTTTTCCTTTTTTTTTCCCTTCTTCTGTATCTGCCACAGTTCACAGACTTCACAACACTGCATTTTTTAATTCAACTTTTGTCAAGAAAGGGCAGGATTGGGGTGATTTTGGATTCATTCCTTGCTTTCAAGTGTCTGGTCTGAAGTGAGAAATTTAGTTCAATAAAACCTCTATTTTTTTTTAGTGCAAGTGACACTCTTTGCCCCGTAGTTTAATTTTTAATGTTTAATGCAGCACATCATGCCACCCTATGGTACGCCACGCACCCATATGTTGCAATGTATCCCCATGTGGCATATATGCTCATCCATCTATGCCTCCGGTAATTCCTGCTGATTGTATTGTATTTGTGCTCCGCAAATCATACCCTTATTGTCTTGATGCTACTAACTCTGCCATATTTTCAAACTTGATCAGGGATCTTATCCTTTCAGTCCTTTTGCTATGCCTTCTCCTAATGGCATGGCTGAGGCTTCTGTGAGTTACTTGAACTCTGGTGTTACATGGTTTGTTGTTAAATAAAACATGTCGTTGGTCATTTGGACTAGTTTAACTGACATTTTTAAATTTCATGTAGGGGAATATGCCTAGCAGCATGGAAGCAGATGGCAAGTTGTCCTGAGGGGAAGGAAAATCTGCCCAATCAAGAGATCTAAGGGAAGTTTGGCAGTTTAAATATGATCACGGGTAAAAACAATGAAACCTGGTAAAACCTCAGGAGCCTCTGCTAATGGAAGGCCTATTCCAAAAAGGTAAGACGTATGTGATTGGGTGATGAATTCCATGGCCATAAATAAGTTTCAGTTGCTACTCCATCCTAGTGTGCACTGCCTGTTTTATTAAACGAGAACTGTTTGGCTTTTGGAGGACTGGATGAAGAAGTTTGGGTCTAGGAAAACTACATGATAACAGGTAGGGAAAGTTTGTAAATAAGTGCCAAAAACGAAGGGGCACATCAATGTACACTGTAAAACGTACACATGCTTTATACCCTTTTACACAATAAAAAAACCTTCCATGATATCAACAGAATATCCTATAACCATCATACCTGGGGTTCATCCTCCTCTGCAACCGAGTATATTAATATAGCCTGATAGAAGAATCTTCACTCTATAAATCGATGCCTCTAATCCATCAGAAGACCTATTTCTTTAACAATCAAGCTAAAATGAGCTACTAACTAAAGCTTTGTTCTGCCAGAGGATGTGTCCCATCTCTGATAAGTGATGGGCAAACAAATCTTCAGATTAATCACTGGTCCCAAACAGGAAAAAAAAAGAAAAAAAAGAAAAGAAACGCAGCTTATCATTTCCTCCTTGTCACAAGGACATGTTGATGAAAGTAGGCATTAAGTTTATGTGGTTAGTGTATTATATTTGAATGATCTATTTAATGGTTCATGGTTGACCTGGGGCCTGCTTTGTTGCTTCTTGGCTTATTGCCCAAGCTAGTGACTTGATTGTCTTCTCCTCACTATTAATCAATTGATACTGACATATCTGATTTTGTGTATGCATGCATTGCTGAAAGTGCGAGTGAAGGTTCAAGCGAAGGAAGTGATGCAAATTCTCAAAATGTATGTATTATGTGACATGGTTTTTATAAATGGATGACTTGAGTGCTTGGGTATGTTAGATCCAATAAAAATTTGATTATATTGTGTAGAATGTCTTAAAGTTTGGTGTTGTGCTCCATGAAGTTACATTTTGTTAGTTTTAACGGGTCTTATCTCATAGTATAATTTTTACACCACAAGATCACCACTCTAGGTTGACATTTTATGACAAACTAGTGTCTGCTAAGAGAGTTAGAGAGGCACAATTAGAAGTAACAGATTTGGCATAAATTATGATCTTGAAGGCATGTGTTAGGAATTGTTTGTAACTAGAGGGTCTCACTGAAGATCTAATGCTACAATTGTTGTGATAATTTAAGTGATTTACATACAAAATGCTTGCATAAATAGAAGTATAGGGTAATGTCAATGGTTTCTTACAGCTGAGGTTGCTGTGGTAGACAGAGTCACAGGTTCAAATAATAAATAACTCCATATTTTTTTCTCTACAAAAAAAGATTGCCTTCATGTATTCTGACATTCAGCCACAACAACACTTGTTTACTTGCTGCTGCCAAAAAAAGTATCACTACCAATATTAGATGTACTGTATTACATATGGAATTGGACGCATGACAGAAATGCATTGACACAAGGACATGGGTGCAGACACAATGAGGGCAGACAATATATCGAGATATTTTACTGTATATACTTCTATTATGTGCAGTAATTATATGATTCTAATTAATTTATGAAAATTTATTTGTTTGAGATTGCATAAGATGTTTTAATAAGTAATTTGCTTTTATTAGAAGACCAAACTTAACAAATGTAATTCACAACTATGCAGGTTATATTTATGTAGGTATGCAAATATATATATATATATATATGTGTGTGTGTGTGTGTGTGTGTGTGTGTCTCATTACATTGTTTGGAATGAATCAGTATGCGTATGTCTGCTACATAATTGACCTATTTTTGTCATGCTATGATATCAGAATTACTAATAGATTTTAGACATGTTTGGGGTGCGTGCTTTGATTGTTTTCCCATGAGTATTGGAAAAATCTTGTATTGCAAAGATTCACAGAATGACAAGGCTGCCTTTAAGAAGTATTTGTGCCAGATAGAGAACCACACTGGATGAAATAGATTAGACATGCTAATCCTACTACATATAAATAGGTTATCTATTATTTTGGAGGTTGACCCTTCATAAATTCTTCCTTAAAGGCATGTGATTCATACGTACCATATAAGCATGAGGATCATGTCTTCTATGTCAAAAAATTTCACTTTCACATCTAGTATTTTCTATTAATTTTGGGCAGGACTCACAAATGAAGTCAGGATCCAGGCAAGATTCTTTCGAAGGTTTGGCTGTAAGAATGTTTCTTTCAATTTCAGTGACTAAATTTTGCAGTTTTTTTCCGATGATTTTAATGAAATTTTTTTGCAATGCCGTTGTTACAGCTGAAGCATCTCAGAATGGTGGAACTATGCATGGTTCTCAGAATGGAGGACCAAATACACCTCCAATGATGGTGAACCAAACAATGCCCATCATGCCAGTGGCAGCAGCAGGTGCTCCAGGTGTACCTGGTCCCACCACAAACTTAAATATTGGTATGGACTACTGGGGTGCTGCAACTTCTTCCACTCTTCCTGCACTGCATGGGAAGGCACCTCCTACTCCAGTTGCAGGAGGAATGGTCACTGCTGGATCACGGGACAGTGTTCAGTCACAGCTTTGGCTACAGGTCTCTCTCTCTCTCTCTCTCTCTCTCTCTCTCATTTCCTTTCTTTTCTGTCTGTAATTTCAATTATTTAATCCATTTCACTTGCTTTACTCTTAATGTCTTAGCATCTAAATTAAATATTCTTAAGAATTTAAACATTTGCTTTGTGCCTGACCTTTGGTAATCATATTGTTTGTTGGAAAGGTTAAAGAGAGTAGGGATTTGGGTCTCCCCCCAACATCTCCTTTCTTTTCCACCCATCCACTCTGGATCACAAGATGGCTTGCTTTTGAAGAAGATATCTTCCACTTTTCGTTTAACCACTATATGGTTGCATGCATAGTAGTATAAGATGTGATCTAGGTACTTGCTTAGAGGTCAGAGTTTGCTCTCGACTGTTTTCATCCACAAAAGTGGAGGGAGGCCGGTGTTTGTTTTTGTGATGGATGTACACAAGGATGGATCTAGATGGGGGGTCGCACCCCCAAAAGTTGTAAAAACTATGTATATTATAGTAAAAGATAATTTCAAAAAATGAGAAGTTACATGCGTATCACACACCGGCAACCCCCCCCTTTCAAAGTTTGAATCCTGGATCCATCATTGGATCATGTACAGTTATTGTTAAAAGAGGGTGCTGATAACTCTATTGATACTTTGCCTTAAATTGTTTGGTATCTTGCTTTGCTGAATATTACTTGCTATCTTCTATGAAATTTGTAGAAAGGCATCTGAGAAGTTATATAAATAAAAGCCTTGGGCTACACAGCTGATGTGAGTGTTACACCAATTAAGATTAGCTATGTTAACAAGTCTCAATTACCAAAATTATCACAATGCGATATATTTTCTTTTCTCATGGGCATTGTTGTAATTTGCTCTTTGGTTATGTAAGTAGGAGTTGACCATTAGATGGGTTTTGGTACGGACAACATTCTTTGGCCATCACTATTTCTCCACTACTGTATTCCCATACCTTACATTTCTTAATTTTCTGATGGAGTTACTTTTACTAATTCAAGCCATGAAAAACAAGAGTACGTATCTTTGGATTGTTGTCATGTGATGAATCTTGTTTTAATGCTTCCAATATATATAAATATTTTTGGGTGAGTATTAGTGCTTCAAATATGAGCTAGTCAATCTACAAGCCTCCCTTGAGTTGCTCGCCTTGTTTGAGAGATTAGTGGTTCGAATCTCTTTCAAATTAGATAACCTAGAATCTCTTCACACAATGACCTTATATTTGAACATTTTGTTTGTATCATAACTTCAAGTTCAGATCTGTGAAACATTTTTTGAAGTGAAATTTTGTAGTAATGAGGGAAGTTTTTCTTAATAATTTGCCCTTAAATTGTCAAACTAAATCACACTCGGGTATAGGAAGGGGAAAATATGGAAGCAAGGTTTTGTGGCCAAACAGCCCAAACATCATTTCAAGAAGATTGCTTGTCCTCAATCTGTCCACTTTGGTTCATTTTGATTACTGATTTTGATACATCATTCCAAAGAACATGATTGTTGTCTCAATAGCTGGAACTTTTTATTACTCATTGCGATTTTTACCTATTCTTACTAAAGTCATCTTGGTTTTACACATCTTGTTCTTGAGTTAGGATGAAAGAGAGCTTAAAAGACAG